AACGTAATGGGACGAGAGCCGAGCCGGGTAGACGAAAAGCTGGAGCCGCTCACGCCGACGTCGGCTTGGAGAGCTGCTGAAAGACTTGCCAAAGTGGCGATCATGAGAAAGTCGATGAACAGAGTCAGCGATTTGCACGGCTTCGAAGATGCCAGATTTTAATTAAAAAAATTAAAAGAAGAAGAAGAAAATAAATCATTCTTGAAAATAAAAAAAATAATAAAAAGAAAAAAAAAAGGGGGGTTATGATTGGACTAGTGGAAATGGGGCCGGGCCTAGAATATGGACAAGAGGTACAAGACGGCTAGGCCCTTTTACCTTTATAAAAGTTGAATTCTTGGGCGTTGGCAGAGTAAAGGAATAGTTTGGAGGTGATTTGTCCCCACTCTCACTCACATACCAGAAATTGGATTATTTTGGATCAAAACCTCTGTTTGTATCTTCTTAAAATATTCGCTTCTCGAGGTGTTGAATTTTGTAAAAACTTGAAGATATGATATAGTTATTATTATTGTTATGAATGAACTCTGAACATGTCCAGTTTTGTACGTTTGTCTGTTTGTTTGTATGAGCTGTTGATGTTCAAGTCATTTTGTTTGTGGTTCGGTTGGAATTCGGCCTTCCTCTGCTTTCAGGATTTATGAATTGTTTTGGATCTGTTTTCGGGGCGTTTAAGAATTTGGGATTAGTTGTAAAAATCATGTGGGTGGGTGGGTGAGTGGTATTTGTTTGTGAAGGGTTTATGTTAATGGAGTAGATAATACATTTGGGAGTGATTCATATAAATTATATTATGTGGATTGGGTGATATTTGGATATCATCTGAGTCTCACTCTCACATGTGGCGCACTACCATTTCTTTAGTCTGTCAAATGTCAAAAAAGAAAAAGCAGAAAAAAGAAACACTCTGGATAACCTCAAACATCATTAGGGGAAGAGAGAGAGATTATGATGTTAATGGTGAAAGTGCTGTATCAAATCAGTTTCCCATCTTTCTGATGAGACCTCACAAAATGCAAAATCAAAGCTGTACCCATCTTTCTTGAAAGTACCCAATTTTCCCTATTGTGTCTGAGATTTGGTTCTTTTTATGTTGGGATAATAATTTTGCTAGTGTCACAGTCTCTAACTATAAGCCTATGACTTCCAAGATCTAAATTGAACGATTTCTCAAACTTCCAAGTATTAAACTATCCTACTCTTAGAATAGAAATCGATAGTTACAAATTTCAAAGACAATGGTATACAAATTTCAGGTACTGTAATAGCATCAGAATAGAAATGGACTAAATTACTAGCACTGTCAAAAACTTTCCCATGTTTAAACAAATAAACAATGACTGAACATGTTGGACATCCAGAAGAAGGGATCAGGCAGCACACAATACTTAAAAGCACATAAATGCGAGGGGAAAAGGCTAAAAAAGGACAGGAGGGTAAGAGAAGGGAGGCTTTTTCAAGCTTTCATTTTTAGAGGTGTTTCTTTACTGCGGTTTTTGCCTTTTGGAGGGGTAATGAGTTCCTTAAATTGCGCAGACTTTTGGAACCAATTGTGATGAGTGGGGTTTAAGGCTCCGTATTCTTTAGCCAACTTTACTTTTCTTTTCTTTTATGATAATGTATTGCTTGAAGGAGCATAAATGATGTCTATGAATAATGTAATAATAAAGTAGTGTATGTGATTGTGGGTATCAGCCATCCCCCCTAGTGCTCAATCTGCCCATTATTCTATTCATATGCAATATTTTAAAAAATAAAAATAAAAAATGGGCAAGCTGCATGCTGCCTCATCATCATCCTCATGTCTATGTGGACAGCAAGGTCTCCAAAATGAGCGACAAAAAGACTAAGGAGGAGGTGTAAAAGTTGGTAATTAAGAGCCAACTCTTGCTCCAAGTATTGTATCTTTTCTTGTAATATTCTTATATATGGAGGGGGATGGGGGCCTGGATCTGTATTTCTATTTGGTCCAAGAATCGAATTCCACCTTCTCCATCTCATTGAAAGGGTCAAGGCTTAATGATGACAAAATTTGAGGCCCATGACAAAATCAACAACAGGAGAAAAAGCCACAAAAATCAAGTACCCAAGAGCTCAATTGATCAAATCTATTTAACTTGAGATTAGTGCTGAAATTTCCCTAATATCAATTATGCTTTAGTCAGAATAAAAGAGAAGGATATGTATTTATTTGATAGGAAGTGAGTTTCCAGAAGCAGCCAAGCACTCTCCTCCCATGCTGTAAAACTATCAAACTTGAAAGATGTCTGTGGAATGACTTTGCTCCCCAACATTCCCAACACGTAGAAAGAATATGTATTTACAACAAATACAGCAACAAACAGTACACAACTGACCATCATTTCCCCCCCATTTCACACCCTTTGTTACACCATACAACTAAATCCTGCAAATATTGGTTCAGTTGAAGAGAGGAAGTTTCATACAACATTAACCATTGAATTTTTTGAGTATGCGTCAAAAGTACAATTGCCTACACCGTGTAGCATCAATGTCTGTTGGACAATATGGGCACTTAAATGATTTTGTGCTGTTTTTAGACATCTTCATGATGGACTGCTTGCAGAGGACATGGCCACACAGCATCAACATAGGTGGGTTTTCTTCGGTAGACTGTTCCTTTGACACCGGACAAACAAAGATGGAATGGAACTGAAATTCTCTGTCCAACTCCACGGGCACAGGCAATTGCTTCATAGACTGCCATTCCTGTTTCTTCCCAGCCATCACATTCATAAACTTCAAGAGGGGAGGCAATCCCTGGACCCCTGCTGCGACTGTTACGCCCAAGGGACTCTCATAGGACTGACCAAGAAAATTGCAAAACTGCCTTATAAGCTCCTCGGCAACTTTTTCCCAATTTGTTGCTGACAATAATTGTGATTGGGAGTATGGGGAGCAATCAAGCCTTCCAGTCCACAAGAGGCAAGCCATAAGTTTCTGAAGTTCAGCCATGTGGTTGGACGCAAGAGGAGCCAGGTACGTCCTAGCATACTTCAAAGCATCATGTCTATCTCCCTTCTGTAGAATCTCCATGAACTGCATGCTATGAAGTTTGAGCAAGAGATCCGATCCACATTCCTTAAGTTTACTTGAGTTATTCAAAGCCCAGTTCAAAGCTGGCTCTAGATTCCGGGACTTCATGGCTTCAAGGATCTGATACATTTCCTGAAATGGTGATCTCATCGAGGCAGCAGATTCTGACTCGCCAGCCTCGTTAATAAAGCAATCACCAAGTTCAAACATACCCTGGCGATAGAAATGACTAGCAATAATCTGGTTAACGGTATGCCTATCAAAATCAACATTTCTATAAGCTTTTGATATATCTGGATTGAAGGACTTCTCAATAAGCTTAGGATACTTGCTCAGAGCAACATTCAACTCCTTCTGTGTGCTTTCAAGCTGAGTGAGTGGGGCAATATCTTTTAACTTCGTTTTGAGTTCAGAAAAAACTGAATTCAAATCAATAGGACATTCAGGATTATCAGCTAACTGTACTTTTTGTAGCACCTGCTCCAATTCAAGATGGATCTGGTCAATTACTTCTTGACTTTTGGAAGAAGATAATTTCTGCTTCTTCGTTACGCGGTCAAATACATCTTTAATGCTATCTAACTCCATTTCTTAGTCTAATACCTGCAAAAAAAATAAAAAATCAATTTGTCAAGCAAAGTCAATAACAAACAGCAATTAAAAACAAGAAATAGAATGCAAAGATAACAGACCAAAACCACAGACAAGAATGCCAAGAAATCTGAAAATAATCAATACTGAGCAGGAAAGTAAAGGTCCTGAGATCTCCACAAAGTAAAGAAAAATAGGCCATTAATTCATTACAAAGTTATACAAAGGAAAGAAAAGGTTATGAGAACTGTCAAGTACAATACTGAAAGATAATAACTGGAGACAATCCTGTAAAATGTAATAGTATAAACTATTTTCACTGCTTCAGTTCCCCACTTCATTAGACCAATGTGTTCCCAGGATATATATATATTTTATAAGAAACTTGTGTATTAACTCATCAAAAGGAGACAGCCTAAGGGCTGGGGGTAGAGGGAACCCCACCCAAAGACTAAAACAACTCTTTCCATTTGTTGATAAGCATGGAGAGGTTGTAGTTCCCAGGATATTAAAATCCAAGAAAAGGTATGTGTTAATTGAATCCAAAATACATAAAGAATCCAGGCCCACAGGTTAGTTATGAATCGCAAATTCTGAATATAAAGCACAAAGTACAAAACACAAACATTTTTTTTTTCTTTTTTTTTGGTATGGAATGCTAATACAAGAGTTGTGACAATTCAATCTATTACCACTTTTATTAGGCTTTAAAAAATTGAAGACAAGATTTATAGAATAAGCAATAGTGGTGATGTTAAATATGTTCTTTTAGAATTTTTATTTAAGTGGCAACTAATAGGGGTGATCTTTTTGAGAATTGCATATAACTATTATGTTTACCAACACTTGATCACATAAATTTAGGATTTCTATTATTTTTAAATTAAAATTGAGGCATACGCCTCATATTGCATTGATGCTTACACCTCGTCTCTCAAGGAAGAAAAACCTCGTGATAAGCTATTCGTCTTTCTCTACAGCACTTTATTAGCCTTATAGCTACAAAATCACATCTAAAAACCTAAAAAATTAAAACTTAACATCACTATTTCACTCCCATTTGTCACACCATTTGACTTATAGTTGTAACCCTCTATATCTTCCTCTTAGGTCCCATTTCCATCTTTCTACCACATTTATTGGAGAGAGACAGCATCGAGTGAGATGGTCGAATGAAGAAAAGGAACCAACAGCATTTAGTTCATATTTCCTTTTTCTAATTTGCTTTGACCCTAGCTCAATAAAAAGGGGTGTACTTAAGCAAGAATCAAAGGGTTTGGCGCCACACCTACAGCTAGGCACAAAGCACACCTACCTAAGCACACGATTGCTAGGGTGTTATAACTATACACCTGTGAGCATCTTATTCAAACATTTTCTTGGACCAAAGAGCTCCTACTCCTAGGATATCGGGTAAAGGTGTGTGTATGTAGTTTTTTCTTTTTCCTTTTTTAAATCGTGAGTGGCAAGCCAGCATATGCACACCAACTATTCTAATGGGACAAACAGCGGGTTCTAACAACATTGAGCCATTGAGAAACACTAGGATTTATTATCCTAGGTAGGTGGTCACTATGGGATTTAAACTCTTGCCCCCAAAATCCCCAAGTCTCTTCCTGTTGCTACTAGGCTAACCCATGGGTGGGTGTAGTGATTGAAACCAGATCTATAGGTCGCAAGTCACGAAAAGCAACTCTAACTATCAATATGTATTAGCTATTAGGCCACTTTCCCAAATGCTTGATTAGCACGAGCATCTTAGGTGTCCTGAATATGCATTACAAGAAAAATCCTTTCATATATTGGAAAAAACCATATTTTCAATTAGATAGAAGGCAACTGCACATTCGTAAAATAATTGTTAGAACCATTTGCTTAAGACAAAACATGTAGTAGAGCTAACTGAAGGCTATCCTATGCATATCACTTCTATCTGAAAGTTAAACTTGTAACACCAGATTAACCATGATCACGGGATGAATGATAGGAAAAGGGAATGAAAATCTTAATCAGTTTTCATTCGCAGTAACAACAGTTCTATTACAAATGGCTTGGCACAAGATATGATGCATAAACGAAACAAGTTTTTGGGTGTGTCCAATTGGTAGTCAGACCAAATTACTGATGAGGAAAAATGAGGTAAATGGACAGAATATGTCAACTAATATTGAATGGCAACCTCGTAAAGTGCACAGACTAGAAATATTATTTTAACACGAGATTTCTACCATGAAAGTGTAAACAATTCAATATTTATAACGACAAAACAATTATCAATGTCAAATGAAACCTATCACTCGAAATTTACCTTTCAATTCACACAGTAACTACTAACTTATGCAGTAAATGGCATCCAACGTAAAATGAAAAAATCGGGGAAAAGAACTTGAAGGATAATAGACTAACTTGCAAAAACCCAGAAATTAGAGAACAAAAACAATACACTCGAAGCCAAGAAACATAAACATCAACAGTTCGCACTCCAACAAAAGTTCCCAACATCTGAATCACCTCGAAATCTTGGGGAAAGAGAGGGTGCTCATGAAACCGAAACAAGTAAACATAAAAAGAAAACCCAAAGACAAGAAATCGATGAATTGGAAGCAAGGCAAAGAAGAGATGCGAATCTGAAAACAAGAAATGGCAGCAAATCGATTCAGATACGATGAGAAAATTATGCCGACAAGCAGATGAAACTCGATTCGTAAAAAATGCAGAAACATCTTAAGATTAGATCTGGATAGAGTATGATGGAAATGAAGTGCTTACATAGATCAGCGGGAAGGAAGAAGAAGAGAAGAGAAGAAACCTTGGCAGGAAGTAAGGACCCGGACGAGAGGGATTTTTCCCTTTCCGTTTCCGTATACACCTTTTATATAAAAATGGAAAATACGGAGAATTATGCATATTATTTGCTTCCTCCTCCACAACCTCATATATAATTTAACTATTAAATAAAATCACACTGTAAATCATAAAGATTAATCACAATTTTATTCGCCAATGGAGTAAAAAAAAACATCAAAATTTTATGCTGAACTTGCTATTATACATATTATAAATTTCCCGGTTCATCGGTTTTTAATTTTGATTTATTTTAGTCTCTATACTTTAAAATTATGTTTTAATAGTACTTTCAACAATTTTTATTTATTTTAGTTATTCTCTTTTGATCCTTTTACTTCTTAAAAGTGATCCATTAGATATAAATTTTATACACGGTTGATATCTTTTAAATAAGTTCATAACTACCTTACAAGAAATTTAACGAGTAAGGTGTTATGTTAAAATTATAATCAAGAGAAATTAAGGTACCAAAATATTCACTTTTAAAAAATACAAGAACAAAATATGTTTTCGAGAGTATAGTGACTAAAATGAATAAAAGGCATAGAGTATTTAAACCTATGATATTTATGTTCAAAATCAAATAATCCATTGTTTTTATCCAAGTTTCTGTGATTTGCTAATTTACTTTAAAAAAATTTAAAAATTTAACTAAATGTTAAAGATAGACGATCAATATGGTAGATGTCGAAAAATCTATCGTCAAGCTCAACAATTGCAAACGAGAAAGTGGATGGCAGTGCGTCAAGCTTACACAGTAGTTATGGTATGAACGTTCTCGATTTGGTTCTAATTTGCGTAAGTCAAATTAATTAATGTAACACACGATATAAAAAAGCATTTGAATTTACATCTCGTCTTTCTATCACGAGACTAATTTACGGTGGTTGGCCCATAACCATAACAGTGGCTCAATTGATGATGATAAGTCGGTTGTTCATCTTTGAGTTAAAATTCTCCCCTGATTTTTCTTGGAAAAAGGGTATGCTAGCTATCAAATCATAACAGTGATAAAATTAATGGAAAAAGAAAAAACATAATCCACTAAATTTATCACCCCGAAAGGCGAAAGATTCCAACTTTTAACAACTGAATTTATAATTTAAAAAGAGAAATGCATAGAAAGGTCGAATATTATGAGGATCATGACAGCTAAGCAGAGCAAATGATTGAGTTAAAAAAAATTGTAAGAATCTAATTTATAATAAATAATGGGATACTTGCGTGGATTGGTTGAAAACGTAATTACAATGTTCTAACTCCCAACTATTGATCAGGCTTGCTTCAAATTTATTTTCATAGATTAGTTATGTTATATTTTTACTGAAGTATGCGGTATTTTTTACCGTTTATTTGTTAAAGTTGTGTTAACGTTTTTTTTTTTTTTTGGGTTTTCTAAGCTCGTAGGTCTCTTTATTTCTTGAGTACCTTTATAAACCTATCTTTTTTTCTAGCAACATAATTAATAACAAGTAATAAAAAGGCCCATAATATATTGAACTTGCATTTAGCCTTTAAACAAACGAAAGACATGACGGTTGCCAAGAAGTCGGCTACACCGTTTGACAAATGCTTTAATGTGTTGGAATAATTTATGTTTTATTGTCCAATGGGTTTATTGGAACTTAAATCAACCCGATTGGTAGAAGTTGTCGTGTTGCCGAATTCGGCGTTAATAAACAAATGCTTTCAACTTCTAGAGACCCCTAGATTCCAAAACTTGCATTCCCAAAAGTAAATAAAAATCAGTTACCGTCTGTTACTTTACTTCCTCCACGTTCAATGCTCATAAATATTCTGTAAAGTGAAACAGGTCGTTGATTTTTGGGTCCTTAACTGTGGCCCGTAAATAAGTTTTCAACATGATAAGAATAAAACGGGAATATATATATATATATATATATAATATATATATATATTATGCTGCCGCAGTGCATCCAACTTCTATATACTACTCTAAAGAATGATACAGTATCTGATGCACGTGTATAATCAATCAAATGGGTTTTACAAGAGACAGTACGGCGGCTTCAAAGCTGCAATATTCACTTGTCTGTTTCCACGTTGAGTAATGGGTAGCAGCAAGCATCTTTGATCTGAACTAGGAAAGGTTGTCATCTACTTCCATCGAACAACCGCTTCTCTTGAACAAATAGATTGTACTTTTCCTCACCATAAAGCTTCCTGTTATCGTACAGAAAATAAATGATAGCGTAATTAGCTTCAAACTAGCGTGATGTATCACTTTCAGATGCAATTTGGGGTCCACAGATTGAAAACATTGCATGGGATGACAAATATAAGGTAGTAGTCCAAAGAAAACATCCATGTAATAAAACATTACATTTTTGTTGTTTTTTGATACCTGTGATATCAGGATCACTTCAACCCCACTAATTCGTGGGAGTCTGCAACATGCCCATCGACTCTTGAGTTAACATAAAGGGATTTCTTTTCTCTAAACTCTACTCTCAGTTTTTTGAACCTAGGAGTGGCATTCAGCCTGACAGCCAAGCCTTCGTTTATTAGGACAGTCCATTTCATCCATACAGCATTTACGAAATCCAAACGTGTAAACACACTTCCCCCAACCCCTCCTCGTGGCGATGGTAGTGGGGTAGTGTTCCACCCTAAAGGTATCACTTACCTACTAAATTTAATCTTAGAATTCACATATCCATAGGAAATTCTTGTTCTAAGAATAAGCTACAACCACATATTGACATTGATGTTGTGTCCATTCTGGGTTTGCTGAAAAGTACACAATTCTGGGAAGGTTGGAACGGGGGATTTGGCTTTTGGAGGCATCTGGTAATTTTTTGGTTGTCTTTAGTATATAAGCTAATTGACAATGGAAATGCCACGGAAATGAACCTACGTTTAGCAGTTTAGCAGGGTACATGTCCAAAACAAGTTAAAATTTCTGTGTCAGGAATTTGTCACGAGTATTGATGCAGTGGAAAGATTTCAACAAAGTTGGCCCCTTCTGTGGTTTTGTATTATCCTTATCAATGCTCTGTGCCTAAGGAAAATGAAGATATGGATAGTCTATTTTTTTGGTGTTTTTGTAGCAGGAGAAGTTGGAATTCTTGTTCCAAACTTCCAGCATTTTTTTGGGGTTCTCTTCATTCTTTAAAGGATAATGTCATGCTACTATAAGGTAATGCAGTAAAGTCCTCTCTTTGAGTGGATGGGTGTCTAGTGGAATCTCTAAAGATTAGTGCAAAATTCAATTGTTCCTTTTGGGTTTCCTTATTAAAGAGAATTTTGTTCAAGCCTCTGTAATTAACACAGATAGAGGAAATTTTTTGTGATTTTTTCCGTTTGTATAAAAAAAAAAACTTGTCATCAGAGTGGGGAAGTTTTTTTTTTTTTTTTTCTCTTTTTCGGGTTGCTATAGGAACCCTCTGTCACTGTATCAACGGAAAGTTTTGTTTCCCTCCCCCCACCCAAAACAAAAGTCCTTCACAAATCTCATTATCTTAGTTTATTTGTAAATCCAAGAGCTATGTACATTTCAACATCTTCGGGTTCATGAATTATACACTCCCTTCAATATCATATATATCAACAACGTGCATGGTTAAAAAGTATGCAACAGCTTTGATATGGCACCAAATCACTGAACAAAACATGAGTAAATGTGAGCAAAAATAAATAAATAATTAAATGATGTTGAAAATCTGAGCCATAAACATCGACAAGGAGCACTATAAATACTCGTAGTTCCCCTTGTGGGAAATAAGAAAAATAAGCTACCAGAACCATAGCTGAATACAGAAGAAGAAAAAATGACCGTTAAGAATACCTTGAATCCCCTCAGACTTCAAAACATGGCAATATAAGTTATAGACCAATAGAATTTACTCACGCTAGATCTGCCAACGATTCAGATTTTATCACGGCCTTTCCTTCTGGCAGTTCGAGGCAAGAATAATGCATTATCATTTCTTTTAGCGTGTGCTTCGTACTTTTGATATCATTGTCCCACAAGATGCTCTGGGTTCAACATAAGAAATCGGTCACTTCAAACTCATTTTGTACGTGTGTGTATGTCTGTATATACATAATCTTGCGAGGATACTGTACAGTATAGCTCTAAAGCATTAACTCTAATTAATTAATTGACTAATGTACATGATATGTACCTCACCTTCCTAACGTATTCTCTTTTCACATCTTCCCATGGCAATTTGCCTTCAGGGGAGAAGATTGAAGCATTCCAAAGAGCTCCTCGGGCAACCATCACTGAGGAAGCACCTTAAGTAATACCAGATTGATTTAATATTCAAAGCAAGAAAGCATTGACGGACAAGATAAAACTTAAACTGCTTGAAATATCATCTCAGCCAGGGTAACAAGCTTCATCGCTAATGGATTGCAATTTGCAACATTGTAGTTAACTGTTAAGCCTCTTCATGATTGAAACCGAATGGAAGGTTTTATAGGCTTAGCTCTCCCTTGGGCACGGCGTGGTTCTCTCTACCCAGCCCTTAGGTTGCCTTCATATTTTTGTTGTTAATGATTGGAAGTCTTTATTGGCTTAGCTCTCTCTTGGGCGGGGCCATTTTGCTTCATTGGTTAGCTTACAGAAGATGTATGATTGTTTCTAGTAGCTATGGTTGTTTTCTGTTTTATCTACTTTCATGGTCACAAAACTATCTGTGTTTAGTTTCAGGTGGAAGATATCTTACCCTTAGACATTTGTTGTACCTTCTATTTTCATTAATATATAAATCAGTTTTTTATTTTTTTTATGGAAGAGAAAACCAGAAAAGGAAATCAAAGAGGTAGAAGTGCAAGTCAACAAAGAACAACTTTAATAACCTCATAAGCTTAACAAGGAGCTAGACAAAAGTAGATTGGTAACAGATTTGGAACAATCAGATTCAAATACTTTCAATTACTAATCAACCTAACCACTAAAATAGAACATGAGGCATCATTTGAAAATCAATAAAACAAAGCCTTCTATACATACCTGTATCAACTTTGACACGTTGAAAATCTGCGTACTCAAATATATCACCATTCGCAATGACTGGGATAGATAACGCTGCCACAACATCTGCAATCTCACTCCACTTCGCTGGATCTCTCGGCCGATCTGCAACTCTTCTGCAATTTATCGAGCACAACTACAAAACCAATTAAAATAGAAATGAAAACAAAATACTCATATAAACTTACAGAAATATCACTTGGAACTAGAAGGCCTGATCAAATCTAGTTTACCTTTTCATATCAACCTAAAATAACTACAAATCCTCCTCTACCAGTGCCCTATGAACAAGGTCTCAGCACTAAAAAGCCTAATATTTACAGTTTTGAGGTCTGTACTCTAAGCGTACCTGAAAGCATATATTCTGCTTCCAAGCAATCTCTCAAAAGTCAAACCTACCATCTTCTTTAGAAAAGATTGTAAGCCTTGAAATGCAAGACACTCCTCAAAATTACTAGCTTTCTTAAAGCACAACAATACGTCTAAAGAGCTTTGTAGCTTGGTTTTTTTTTTCTCTCTTTAGAATTACACATATCTGCTTTTACAAATCAAGCCTCTCTCCTTGTTTCCTACAACATAAATTCAAGCCTTTAAGGTTGATATATATTTATCACCTCATCTCCCTGATACAAGAAAGCTTCAATAAGTTTCTCCTTCATTAACCAAAAAAAAAGGCTTAAAATGAAATAACCATGTTAACTTTGAGAACAATGCAATAATATAGACAACCAAACAAATTTTACCAAAACGGGGAAAATGATCAATTTTCATGAGAAGAATCATTTGCAATCAATTCCTAACAGTATAAAGTGCTTTCAGATGCAACTCACTAGTCCATTTAATAATAATAACTCTCCAATTAAATTATAATTCTGACGTAATGGTAAATGTCTTAAATAGCAGGTAACTACAGAAACTTGAAGATCACCTTCCATGAACAACAAGAGCTGAAACACCAATGGTCTCTATTCGCCTAGCTAACTCCACTGTATCCTGAGACGAACTTAAAAGTCGAATCTTGCATGTAATTGGAATGTTCAAGTTCCTCCTCAATGTTGTCAAAATCTAAATTTAGAAAGAGAAATAAAATAATAATAACAAATAAATAAATAAAAGGTGAATTGGTAAGTGCATTTGCCACAAATACAAAAGAGGGAGAATAATTCAGAAAAATTATTTCAATTTGTATGGATATGAATTGCATACATCGTGAATGAGGTCAGGTTTATTCAATAGTGCAGCACCCATGCCCCCACTGATGGAAAATGACTTGGGGCAACCCATATTGATATCTACTGCAGCAACATCTTGACATCTAAAAGAAAAAAAAAAATCCATCACTTAATACAATTATGACTTCCTGTAGACAAAGAAGCATTATTCTCCGACTAAGGACCCAATTTTCTCCCAACGAAAAAAGTAGTAATAAAATGAGCTTGAAATAACGAAGGAAATTATAGGGTTCCGCAACAATATAGTTCTCACTTCTTTTTTTTTTTAAATAGGAAACAGAAAAATATATTAGGAAAGGACCCAAAAAAGGCCAATACACCCTAAAGGCCAATATAGTTCTCACTTGAGCAGCAATATTTGCGAAATCAATTATAAGGTTTCATTTGTAAGAAACTGGACAGAATAGTTCTCACTTCTTGTTCCCACTTAGCATCTAATCCATGACCCTCAAAGTGAGAGTACAGAAAATAATCAACTAAGCCAATAGAATCTCATATCGTAATCATGATCATCACATTAAATTGAATAATAAAAATAAATCTTGCCACCAAAAATTCAGTCTGATCCATAAAAAAGCCTAGTAAGAAATATTAATTAGTTGCAGGAAGAAAAAAACAATTCAAAGGTACAAAGTGAAGATAACCACCACCAATCTTGTAATAACTCAACTGTATAATGACAGACAATATGAAAGTAGCAAACTTACACTATTTGAGCAGCAGTTAGAGCCCTCACAGCATTAGAAGTACCCATTTGAAAAACAACTTGACTTCTTTCTAGGCTGCAGGTCCTGAAAACAACATTGTCCGTCCCTTTCTCCACAAAATCAGTTGAACCAACACGCTCTAGATGACAAGGAGAAGTAATATAAGTTCATAATTGGTGAAGAAAAGGGAACAAAACATGGCATATTGTAACCTCCATCTCCTAAGCTGCTTGCCAAGCACAACGCATTTCCCTCTAATTGAAGTCATGTTTATATGAACACAGTAACTCCACTACCAATGTAAACTTACGACAGACAATGGGGAAAAGACCATAATTCTTTCCAAACTCGAAGTTACAGTGAAATTAATAAATCATTTTTACAGGTTAAAATCGACTTCATATGAACATAGGACAACTGAAACCAATACCTTAAAATTTGTTAACAATGGGGAGGAGAAAAGTACCATTTAATCTACGCTCGCATTTGACCATCTTATGGTCAATAATTTCCTCTCCATAGGTAATGTCTGCACCGTATTGTGCGGCCAATAGTCTAAATGGTAACGTTCCCTGAAAACAATAATGACCAATCATATAATACTCCATGAAAAAACTTAAGCATTCGTAATCTCGTTATATTCACACTCTCCCATAACTTTGGTCGGCATCCAAACGGAGAAAATCTAGCGGGTATTTTGCAAAAAATGACTACAATTAAGAGATGTACTTGATCAAGTAAGGACAGCAGCTCAAACAATAAATACTAAGATTCAAACTCTTGCATAACTTTGCTTGGCATAAATAGAGACAATCAAGCGGGAAATTTGCAAGAAATAACTACTATAAGCAGATACACAAGATCAAGTAACGAGAGAAACTCAAAAAATAAATACTGTAATTCGGTCCAACTTACAACGCGAACCATAGGAGCAAGGATGAGTTTGTTCTCGTACTCCATCTTAATCGGAAGCGGTCTGACCAGAAAACAGAGTGACTATTTCAGTTTCATCGTCTTCTCTCCCGGCGAACTGTAGGCCGGAAAACTAAGGACGGATTTTGGACCATAATTCACAATGGGCTGGACTCTGCTTAGGTTTTGGGTTGGCCACTCAAAATTACCAAATATTGTTTCATCATATTTGTTTTTTGGAACAGGTTAAATAACCAGAAAAAAAATGTTAATTAACCTAAAACCTTAAGTATATGGATAAATATAAATTTAATCATTTATAAGAGTAAATTTTAGTGGGTTAAGTTATTAAGTCTGATGTTAAATCTCTATCTCAAAAATTTTTTGACTTGAAAAAAAAGAGTACTCAGGAAAGAAAAGGTTAACTTGTTAGTTTAATTTTTTTATTTTCCAATGTTTTGGTAATTATATATTTACATCTAAATACTAACCATTTTAAATTTTAAAGTCATGGTGTAAGAATTTATATTAACAAATCGTTTGAATTACCATAGATTATGCTTAAACAGGTAGTCTTTTAACTCACCGAATGAACTGATGTTTTGAGCTTAACCATTGAACTATATTATCGTGTTAGCAACAAAATAATATATTAAATTATAAATGATTTACTTTTTTTTTTCACCTTCGAAAAAATAACCATATCATAAATTTGTTTTTTCTTTTAGAAATCAAAGACAAACTTATAATTACAGAAAAGCTACTAAATATCTAATGCGTCTTCGAATTCAATTTTAGCAGAGTGCAAAATTTGTATAAGACATCTATCTATGACTGAAATGTTATATGTTCGAATCTCACTTTAATATGTTATACTAAACTATATATGTATATAATCTACATTAGACTTATTGGATAATTTTGTCTCATTGAATGTGTTTCATTTTGGAGTATTCCAACTCCAACTTTTAAGAGAAAACTAAAAAATCCTAATCAGTTAAACTTTGCAAAAAATTTTGAGCATGAATCAAGTAATTATAAAATTGACTATTAAATTCATGAAACGACTTCATCTGTTTTAGAAATATACTATACAAGAACGACTATGAAACACAATCTTTTCTACATGTTGAATGGGGTAGGGCAATTTTATGTATTTTTACATTGGTTGTCACGATCTCGTGGACGTCATGGGGGAATAATTTATGATTTCATTATGCAAAATTTGATTTATTTTCAAGTACATCATTTTCTTTGTCTCGTCACCAGAGAATAATCTCTTTTTTCTTTTTTCTTCTTCCTATCTATTTGGGCAATTTGAATTTTATCCTTTCAAATTATTGAGCAACTCTCGAATCAATGCTTCCAATGTTTTGTCAGATCATTTGGGAACGGAGGAGTACGACTACACCAACTTTGAGAGGTGAATTTTGGAGATTATTCATTTATTTGTACGATCCCAAAAGTTTGCTCCATTATAGAGTGTTTTGAGAATCAAATATCTTAGAAAATAAGATGCTTGGGGAATAAAATATTGAGTATTGCATGATAGTTTTTTAATCTCTAATCTAAATCCAGGAGGTAAAACGATTCTTGAATTGATTTTAAAGACAAAAATGAAAGATCTCTTACTAGTGTACTCAATAATTATTTTCATTATTTAATATTACAATATCCTTCCATAGAGATATCAGATCAATCTAAACATAATTAAATAGTAAAAACATAAATTTTGTTCTTTTGTAATAGATATTTACATCTTCGTAATTCACATTTATTGTACATTGAAAGAATTGTTTTTTTGTATAATAATTAATAAATATATATAACCATAAGAATAATTCTTCTCCCCATAATATGATTTTAACTTTATAAATAATATTTTAAAATTGATGGACGCACGACATTGATGCGTGTCAAAATTGGTAGATAATGAACAAAATACGTGTAAAAATTTTTAAAAAAATGGAAACGCAAAAGTTCAATTAGGTCTAGGTCAGGTAAAATTCTTAAATTTAGGAGCCATCCCATTGAGAAAATGAAAAACGTAGATTAAATCATGATTTGACCACTCATGCCTATGATCTAAATCAATTCCATTTTTGTCAAAATTTGGCTGCATTGCCACTGCACACAGATTAAAGCTTCTGTCTTATATAGCTTTGTTATATCACATTTACAAAATTCGCCTCGAACTCTAAGGTCGGAACAATTATTTATTTATTATTATTATTATTTTGTTAAAACATAACTCTATTCTTCCAACTTTTATAGTCTTCACACGTGATTTTTTTAATCCCCTAAAAACGATATTTATATAAATTAGTTGGGGGTGCTCGTGCTAGTAGTTTTAAAAACTATGTGAATAAATGAAGAAAAGGGAGTAAATTGAAATATTACATGACTATATTAGAGTTTTTAACAATCGGTACATTTGTCATATATGATTTAAAGTTAAATCATTATAAAAAAAATAATAAAATTAAAATATTACGATAATGATTTAGCACTTTAATTTTTAATAAATTAGAATAAACAAATTTTAATTTTAAAACGACACCAAATATATATTCAAAACTTTTATGATTTATTTATTAAAAGTCTAACACATCTTTAAGGTCTATGCACGTGTGCAAGACGATAAAGTTGAAATGAAAATCTTTTTCTGATCTGCGTTTGAAATTATAAAATTCAAATTGGTACCAAGAGATTTTAGTTCTGAATGTACAAATATATTAGTTAATTGTCACTTTATCTTTTTTAATTTATCGAGGGCACGTGGACATCAAATCATTCTTTCTTATCTAAAATACTAAAATGTGTGGGAATTTAATTTCACGTTGTAATAATGATAGTCAAATCCCATTATTTTAATAAATTCACATATATATTTTGATAGATATGCAATTTTTTATGTTGTTTTGGTATTAGCGAATAAACTAAGAAAGAGCTAATTACATAAATGACGATATATCAATAAATTTTAGATCTTGAAATAAAACTACTGACATTTTAAAAGTAATATACAATATTTTTGCCATCTAATATAAATTAAATATTATATTAACAATAATTGACTAAACGGTGCTAATTTTCTTAAACGGCGTCGCAAACGACTCGCGGTTCCGTATTGGGTTGGGGGAGTGGGACAGGAGGGACGGTGAAGCTCGATGATTTGGAGCCAACCATATGTGACGTGGCGCTTGCCGTTCCCACGTCACCGTGCAATGGCTGCCAGCCAATAACGAAAATTGACCACACCTGTCACCAAACCATACCCTCACTTTATTTTGCTTATTCTGATTCCAATAATAATTTACTGGAAATAGGCTTGGTTGTAAATTTGCAATTTGTTTCTATTTTCTAGTTTTTTTTTTCGATTTCATAAATAAAACTTGTTAGATAAATATCTGGCTTTATTGCTTTTAATTTTGCAACTCCTACTACCCCACATATCTCCACAATATGGTATGATATTGTCCGCGTCCTCACGCTTTTGCTTTTGGTTCCACCAAAACGCCTCATACCAATGAACATAATTGTCCTCTCTTATATACTCATGATCATTCTCTTTCCTAGTTAATGTGGGACTTTGTTTGCAACCACCTTACAAACCCAACAAACTTTTACCAACTTCACAATTGAAATACGATTAGTGCGGGTAAAAGTGAAAATAATTAAATTAAATAAAATATATAATTTTGTTTAAACAAATTAAAAGATGGATGGTAGAATTTAAAAAAAAAATTAAAACATTTTTTTAGAAAAAAAAAATTAAAACGTTGATGACAAATTTGAAACAAGCACTATATATTATGGATATTTAGTAGTTCAACCATAAATATTTAGGCATGCAATGACCACATGCATGTATCTCTACGTCGAGTGTTTGAGATGCCTTTCATCCTAGGGCTCATATGTCTCGACATGTGATTTGATTTCCTGATTGTGTTTTTTGAACATTTCTTTTTTTTAGTTGGTTGGCTATTTGTGTTTGTGATGGTATGATTGCATTTGGCAGGTTTATCGCATCGTATTTTTGCCAATGTGTTTCACATCTAGAATGAATTTATAGTACTATTAGAGGTCATTCACATAGAAATATTGAGTGTGGAGGATTGCTTAAGCCGCCTTTATATCTCATATTTGAAGATAGCATTATTCTAGGATCCCAGGAGAGTTATTTATTGTCCAACCTTAGTTATATTACATATTGTTCATAGCGATGTCAATGATTTATTTGTCATGGATGAAATTACCTTATCAAATTTCCATGATTGAAGTTAGGAAAGCGATATGGGTCAAGGACACCAGGGTCAGACTACCAAACCAAACAAGACCTAATCCGACTCAGACTTGGTTTAGCCGGTCTACTCGAACTAATCTAAGGAGACTCTCTTTATAAATAAGAGGAGAGACCTAAGGTGCGATATACGACACTCTCACAGTTTTACTTTTGATATTCTTTACAACTGAACTTTTCGTTGACTTAGACATTATGGTAGGATTATGTAAGGATTGTTTAGTCTTTTTGTAACAAAAAAAAAGAGAGAAATTTGGGGAAATATTAAAGATTGAAGTTAAAGGGTATATTGGTCTTTTAACTTAAAAGAAAAGAGAAAAA